CCCTCCCTCCCTCCCTCCCCGCCGGCGGGGTCCCTTCTGCTCAGGACTGGGGGGGTGAGGGGAAGGGGGGCTGCTGTCTCCTGCCCACCCTCACCTTCAGGGAGAAAACAGACTGGGAAGAGACCTCGGGATGCTTCCCAGCTTGGGTGCAGTGAAGGGCTGGCCATGTTCTGCTCAGAGTGGGCTGTGCCGGGGGCTTTGCTGGGGGGTGCTGGCTTCGTTTCTGTGGGTTGAGCAGAAAAGGCACTCTTCTCGCCTCCTCCCCAAGTGCTCCATCTCGGGGGGTGGAGGAATTTCTCACTGCTGTGCTTGAGGCCACCCTGTCTGCCATCCGCTTCTGAGCCCGTGGTGGGCAGGCATCCTGGTCCCCCTTTCACGAGCGAGGAGCTGGGGCTAGGGCAGGGGGCGCAGAGCGGTGGTTCTGCCCTTGCTGCTCTGGCTGGTTGGGCCCCTTTGCTGCCCCCCATCTCCTGGTGCTGCTCTGTCCATGTGCTGCCTGTTGGGTCTCTGGGCATCCTGGCTCTGTGGCCTGGCGGGCGCTTGGATGGGATGGCAGCGGACCTGGCTCTCTCCCCAGACCTTTGGTCACCCCTCCACCTGCCTCCTCCCTCTGTGGGCCCAGTGTCCCACCCCACCCTTCCCCCAGCACCGCCTGCGCAGTTTCCCTGGTCCTATTTTAAGCTCCATAAGCTTTGCCATGTGACTGCCTTGGTTCAGTTCCACACAGCTATTAAAAGATGATGCCAAGTTAGGAGCCCGAAGGAAGGATAATTTCAGCCCTCTCGGCCGGTGCCAATCAGTTGTACGTTGGAAATGGCCAACTGGGTTTCCAGAAGCGCTCCTAGGAGTGGGGAGGCAGCCCACTGGCCTTCCTCGTACACCACGCCAGGAGCAGACTTGTGCCCACTACACGTACCCACGAGAAACGATACAAACGGTACTTGTTTTCTCTTCCCCTGTCCCAACCTGGTGTTACTTCCAGGCCGTTGAGGATGTGTAAGATATGCTACCCCTCTATGGCGATGCATTGATTATAATCGTACGAACTGATTTTGGCTATCGATTTTGTAATGTTAGTTCTGTAAGCTCCTCAGGAAACAGAGTGGTGTATAATTCCGGTCAGTCCATCCTTCTGGAGCCTGCCCAGCTGGGAATTCTGGGAGTTGTAGTTTGTTTGAGGAGGCTGCCCTAGTTCTCCCATGGACCGTGGAGTGGCCCTGCGTATCCTGCAGCAGAGTGCGGAGCAGGTCGAGGTCTGGCCCGGGGTGGAGGAGATCCCACTCAGCTGCGAGCCATGCCTTCTCAGCCCGTTTGGCCTCGCCTGGTGCATCCCAGGCCTGGCGCTGGTGCATCCAGCTCCACCTCTTCACACCAACCAGCCGGGCCTCCCCCAGGCTGCGCGAGGTGCTGGGGGCGGCCCATCTCTGGCCCAGACTGAGGTCCTGCCGTGCCGGGCGAGGCGGGCGCTGCCTCTGAGCGTCTCCCGGGGCCTGCGAACGGGAACCAAAGAAATGGCGCAGCGGCAGCTCCAGACGCGCTTCATTCAGTTGCCGCACGAGCGAATGCTGTGTGTTGAACGGGCCTGGCGGGAGGGCTGCCGTGGTGATCTCCTGTTTCTCCCCCCCAGAGCGCAGAGGTCTGCAGCTGGAGCCCCCAGGCGGAGCGTGGCCACCCAAGAGCAGAGCCCGAAGATCCAGCATCAGCCACTGGGGAGAGGCCAGGATGGCGGCCAGAGCAGGGCAGGTTGGCCTGGGGAGAGCAGAAGGGTCTGCCCAGCCGGCCATCTGGGGCGAACCGGGATGCCCCTGAGCTGGAAGCCCTTAGTGGGCGATTGCACTCTAGAGTCTAGGCTTCTTTTACCCCCCTCCTTTCTTATTTGTATAAATAACTCAAGGTGGCGAACATACCTAGTACTCCATCATCCTCCTCCTGCTCTCCCCACCACAACAACCCTGTGAGGTGGGCTTGGCTGGGAGAGCGGGACTGGCCCAAAGCCACCCAGCCAGCTTTCATGCCGAGCAGGGGTTCCGGCATTCTAGCAGGGTGGGCTGTATTGTGCCGCTGGGAGGGAAGCCATGGATGAGCAGTGCTGTGGAGATGAGGGAGGAGGCCAGAAGTTCTGTCTTTCCAGTGAACGGAGAGTCCGAGAGCTCTGCAGCCGCTGCCGAAGAGGAGCTGGCTGGGCCCCCCGCAGTTGGGCCGGACGCGGCCCCCCAGCCCAGTGTGGCTCACATCCCCGCCGAGGTGGAAGAGCCTGGACCTAACTCAGGCAGCCAATCTTCTCAGTTGGCAGTCCAGACGCTGGAGTCTCTGCCCCCTGGGTAAGGGTTAGGGTAAGGGGGCAGATGGGGCCTTCGGCCAGAAGGGAGGTAGCCTCTCCAGGTCCACTCAGCAGGACGTGGGGGGGCGGGGTAGATAAGACCTGGGTCTGGGTGAAGAGGCAGGAGGCAGCCTGGCGCAGTGTCTGGCCTCCGCACGACGGGTTTTGCTCAGCTGTCCGCCCTGGGCTTCCCACGTCTTCCGGGGGCACAAGGGCCTCCTGCATTTTCCAGTGGAAACGCCTCTTGGTGCGGTGCCTCCCGTGTGGGTGTGTCACTGCCAGGTACTCAGTGTGTCTTTGTGTGGGTTGTGTGAGCCCTGTTGTGTTTGGCTCAGCTGCTCCTGGAAAAATCCCAGCCTCTCAGAAGCTCTTTCATCCCCCACCTCTCACCCTCGTGGCCGTGCTGGGCCTGGGCTCGGCAGTGGGGGCAGAGTCCCTGCGGTCGGGGGGCACGGGGCAACGCTCGTGTGTGCGCAGGCCCTGCGTCCCTTTTCCCCAGGACTGTCCTCCTCCAGCGGCCCGGAGTTCTGCTTTGCTCTCCCCCGTTGCCTGGGCGCAGACAAGCTCTCGAGGAGGTGGCAGGAGCCACAGGGAGGGCAGTGGCTCACTGGCGTCTCTGGGCTAAAGCGCTGGAGCTGCGCTCTTCGGAGGAAACCATTTCCTGGGAGCCCCATCCAAAGGCCCCTCCCCAGCCTACTTACTGGATGGAGGGAGAAGCAGCCTCCCCCACTTCCTCCTCCCCCCAGCCCAGCATCTGGTTCCTATCAGCCGTGCGTCTGGTTTGGGGACAGCCATCCTCATTAACACAGTGTGTACGCCCGTTCGCACCGCGTCTCGCGCACACAAAGGCACATTATGCTCCCTACCGGCGGGCGCGGGCTATGGCTATGGCTCCTTGCGAAAGGCCAGGCATCTTGCTTGGATGGCAGGGTGGCTCCGCATGGCCATTCCACTCCCAGCAAGGCATATCTGCTGCAGCCGGCACGATGGGCGGGTAGCCCAGGGGCCAGTTGGCCAGTGGCCCGCTTGCACAGACGAGCAGGCAGAGCTCCTGCAGTTTGGCTGGAGCGGAGCAGCAGCAGCTGTCTCTGAATGCCGTGTTCCAACTTAAGGGTCTAGTCCTCATGAGTTTGAGAGCAGGCAAGTCCTCCTTAACGAGGGAGATACCTGTCAGGGGCTGCACCTTGTTCTCCCTGGCCAGGCAAAATTGCAAAGGGATGTCTTGTGGACCTGTATCCTGCTCTGGGGCAGGGGGGTCGTGTTTGGGGCACCAGAGGTCCCATTCAGGCACTCGCTGCCAGTCCCCGCAAGGCCTTGCTTCATTTCCCAAGAGTTACGGAAACAATGTTTGCCGGACGAGCCGGAGGTGGCTGAGAGCACGAGAACGGCCCCCGAGGGATTCCCCTCACTTCTTCTCCCTTTCCTTAAGCTGGGAGCAACGGGAGCTGCCTAACGGGAGGGTCTACTACGTGGACCACAACACCAAGAGCACCACCTGGGAGCGCCCCCTTCCACCAGGGTAGGTACTGGGGGTGCGCTTGGGAGCCAGGCAGGGGAAAGCGCCGTCTCCTCAGCCTCGGGCGAACGGATCGGTGGTGGCCTCCAAGCGGGTGCCAGGGCCCGTCTCCAGAAACCCGCTTGCCCTGGCCGTGCACCCCGGCAGCGTGGAACGCAGAGGGTGCAGCTGCCTTGCAACCGCCGGGTGCTTGGAGAAGCCAAGTTCCTTCTCGGTCTCCAGAGGCGCTGCTGGGCCGGGCGAGAGTTGCCCCAGTGAATACCGCCTGGTGTGGTGGGGCGGCCTGTCCAAACGGGGGGAGGGGGGAGAGGGCTCCTCACAAGGCCTCCCTTGTCTGTGCAGCTGGGAGAAACGTGTGGACCCCCGTGGTAGGTGCTACTTCGTGGACCACAACACACGCACCACCACGTGGCAGCGACCCACAGCTGAGTACGTGCGCACCTACGAGCAGTGGCAGAGCCAGCGCAACCAGCTCCAAGGCGCCATGCAGCAGTTCAGCCAAAGATTCCTCTACCAGGTGGGGGCCTTCACCCCCCGTGGCCCTGCAGCAGGACCTCCTTTCTCCTGGAGGGGAGGGGCCCCGCCGGACATCAGCCCCAGGGTTGGTGGGGAGAGTTAGTTGGGCAGTGCAGCCCTGCAGCGACGGTTTGGAGGGTCTCCTAGATGCCTCCGTGACCACTCTCGGTGTTTCGGGGAGCCTAGGACCCTTCTGCTAGGACCCTTCTGTCTTCAAAAAAACTTGGTAAATGTGGGGAAGGGGGCCCCAAACGTGGGAAGCAGCCGTCTTTAATCCAGGCAGAGGTCAGTTGAGGGCAGGTGGAGCAGAAGCTTCTTCCTCCTGGGAACGGAAAAAATATATTTTGGCTTAACAAGTTGACCTGAGGTGCCCTACTAAATAGGACCCAAGTCCAGTGTCACTTAGCAGGTTGTGTGAAACCAGCTTCTGAAGACTTCAGGACTGGGCGCTGCGGGAAGGGAAGGGAAGGGAAGGGAAGGGAAGGGAAGGGAAGGGAAGGGAAGGGAAGGCCTTTGGCTTGGCAGGGCCAAGGACGCTGGTGGCAGGTCACGCTGAAGAAGCGCCAACTGTTCTCTGCATGGGCAGCACAATCCTGGTGCTGGGGTGACTGGGCCCAGGCCCCCCAGAGCTTGGGGAGCAAAGTCCCTAACAAGCCCCATGCACAAGTTCCCAGAGCGTGCCTCAGCTGGGGCTCGGCCCCCCTTGGAGGGTGGGAATGAGACCCACACACCTTTGGGGCACAATGAGGCACTTCTTCAGCCTCACAGCTCTGGCTGCTCTGCTCTCTCCAGAGGCCCTGCAGAGAGCTGGGGAGGGGGCTATCTAAACAACCGGCCACGGCGGCGGCGGCTGCTGGCAGCTGCGTCCCCCACCTCGCTGCTGTGTTCCTGGCCCAGCCCCATGGCCCGGAGTCGGATAAAGGTGCTTTGTACCGGCCTGGGCCGGGGGGAGCTGGGGAGACGCCTGTCTGGGTGGCATGAATGTGCCCTCTCAGGCTGAGCCTGTCTCACGCCCAGCCGCTGGGTTTCGCGGCCCCGTGCGAGGGGGAGGAGGCGGCGGCGGCAGACGGCAGGCTGAGCCAGGAAGCTCTGGGCGTGGCGGGCTTGTGGGAATGATTTCATTGGAAAGGCCTGCGATATTTTTCCCCCTGTTGCGTGTGGTTTGGAGGAGGCTGGACGTGGGGCTGTGGTGGGGCTCTCAGCGCCTCAGCCAGCACGGGGGCAGTGGCGCCTTTTGCCCGGCCCACACGCTCCCACTCTCTGCCTGGAGTCGCGCGCGCACCAGATGATGCTCGGCGTCCTTCTCAGTCACTCGGCTTCTCTAGCCCACCGGGGCAGGGCAGGGCAGGGCAGGGCAGACCGCGCAGGGGATGGGGCAGAGGACCCGCTGGCTGCTGCCTCCACACCTAACCAGTGGGGCACTTGGTTTTCTCCCTCCAGTCCTCTGGCACAGCTGCTGACAACGACCCCTTGGGCCCGCTTCCTCCTGGCTGGGGTAAGTACCGTCAGCTCTGCCGCCTCCAGTCCCTGGCAGCCTGAGCTTCTCAGACCGGCTCTGGATTCAAATCCTTCCTTTATTGCAAACCTGCCTACTTTTTTGTCCACTGTACTGAGGGGCTTTTGGCAGAGCTGCTGCATTCCCCTCTTCTGTTTTCGGGGGGGGGCGGGAAAGCTCTGTTGCTGGATGAGCCCAGCTTGCTTGGGTGACCCCTGGGTCAGCTGGGCCAGGTAGGGGAGATGGAGGGAGCCCCAAAGTCTCTGGCAGGAACCTTGGTGAGGGTAAGAGGCCCTCCCAGGCCACTTTGGGGCCCCAGAAGGGTGGCACAAGCTGGGGGGGAAGAGGCCCACCTGGCCAGTCTTCCTTAGGAGTGATCATCACGGTCCTGATCCTGCAGCAGTGAAGCCCAGGGAGAGCCAGCTGGGTGGAGGGTTAAGCAGCTGGTCTAGAATCTGGGAGGCTCTGAGTGATATTCCTCCCTTGGGCAGTCATTCTCTTTCAGCCAACCTGCCTCGCAGGGTTGTTGTGGAAAGATGGGAGGCAACAGCATTATATAAGCTACCTTGAGTTGTGCAAAACAAAGGTGGCCCTGCTGGTCAGGGAAGGGGGTAGGAGGCAGTGGGGCACCTTCCCGGAGAGAGCTGGGGGCACAGCAGAATCCTCTGCAATGTCGGCGTCCCCAACCTGGAGGAAGGAAGCTGCAAGTGGATGGGAGGGATGTGGGCCAAGGGGCGGCCCTCCAGCAGGACTTCAGGTCTTGCGCCTCGGGCCCCTGAGGCTGTGGTGGCCAAGGCGGGTCCAGAGAGCCTCAGGCTCCGCACAGAAGGCCCAGCAGCAGCTCCAGGGAACTGAGCCCCCAGCCTCAGTCCTCTGGCACCCTGAGCCCAACGGGGTGGTGGCATTGGAGGAGAGGTGCCCTCCAGTTGCCTCCCACTTGACCGTAACCAGCTGCCAGGCTTCATCCTTCTCCAGACTGGGCAGTCGGGGGCCCATTGCCCAGCCTACGTCCTGTCGTGCTCAGTCGGGGAGGGGAGCGAGGCGGAGCGTCTGTCAGAGATGTGGGGCAAAGCAGGCAGTCCCTCGGGGGCCCATCTTAGGACAGCTTGGGCAGGGCGTTGAAGGGCCAGGAAGTCTTTTCCAGGGGCCCAAAGAAGGGAGGGGCCTGAGGCACACCCTGCGCCCGGCCTTGGGCCAGACGTCGCGCAGAACAGCATCTCAAGTCCTCCGGGGGGGCGGCACGGACGCCCCTTCTTGGGGGGGACACACCCGCCTTCCCCCCAAGCCGGGCTGCTGGGGGCAGCTGTGCGGTTTGCCGGAGCTTTTCAGAGAGCACCATTGGCCAGAAATGCCTTCCCTTGCAGAAAAGCGTCAAGATAACGGGCGAGTGTACTACGTGAACCACAACACCCGCACCACACAATGGGAAGATCCTCGCACCCAGGGGTGGGTAGCACACCAGCACACCCGGGGCCCCTTCTGTGCCCCCAGGACAGGAGAAACGGCTTGGGCGCTCCTCCCCCACACCCTTCCTGCTTCTGGAGGGGCCTCGGGGAGGGCAGGCTGCCTCCGTCCATGGGCCAAGGCGGGGGGAGGAAAGGGGTCCGGCCGCAGGGGTGGTTCGCCAACAGGTGCCCGTCTCTCCCTCCTCTGGCCAGGATGGTCCAAGAGCCAGCGCTGCCCCCCGGCTGGGAGATGAAGTACACAAGCGAGCGGGTGCGCTACTTCGTGGACCACAACACCCGCACCACCACCTTCAAGGACCCCCGCCCTGGATTCGAGTCTGGGTACGTCCCTCCCCGCCTTAGAAGCTCTTGGAAACGCGGGGACTGCCTTCACTCCCCCAAGGGCCGCTTCGCACCGGAGCTGGGGCTGGGCTTCTGGTCCGTGGGGCTCTCTGGGGTGGCCCTGTGGCCCAGCTGCTCCGGCCTCGCTGCAGACGCCTAAGGCCCCCCCGTCCCCTCCCTCGCAGGAGCAAGCAGGGGGGCTCCCCCGGCGCTTACGACCGGAGTTTTCGCTGGAAGTTCCACCAGTTCCGCTTCCTTTGCCACGTGAGTCTCCGAGGGGG